ATCAAACAGACACTGCCCCTACTAGTCCGAAAACGAAGACAATGTTTGGACCTTTTCCCTTGGGCTAGAGTTCTTAAATGAGGCAGAAAAAGAGAAAAACAAAGGAAAAGGATACTCGGCATCAGCACCATCACGATTCGCTTTAACTGATATTGTTGTCCGTTTTTCGCGTCGGATTTGATGCACAATTCCACCGGCTATGTTCTAAAACAATTGGTTCATGCTTTCAGCTGTGCACTATCGAGTTATGGAGCACGTGGGAAGTTTGGAGAGCACTCATGAAGCTAGAGTTGCCCGAGGCTATCGCCTCGGGCAACTCTTACGCTTCTTTCGTGCTCTCCAAACTTCCCGCGTGCTCCATAGCTCGATAGTGCACGCTAAAGCATGAACCAATTCTTAATTGGAAACTGCTTATGGAAAAAGTTATTGAAACCCTCTGATGCAAATTTTTGCTTTAATTTATGTTACGGTGTAGAGTAAACTAACTCAGCAAATATAGCTGCGAACGGGAAGTTAGGGAAATTAGAAGGTATGCGATTACAAAACATCTTACCTCTCTCGATTAACTTTCACCCCCATCCTGTAACAGAACGAACTTAAATTCTCCCTGGATAGTAAGTTTCTTGAACACTTTAGTATATTTGTCATATTTTTTTACCCTTGGGTTTTATGAGATAACAACATTGATTTTATTGTGTTTCAATGAAAAGAAACAGTCCAAAATAACAAGAACAACAAACGGCACTCGTCTTTGAAAGCAAGCTTCCGCAAAAGAGACTGAGCACGTAATAAGCCGGTCTTAAAAAGAACGAAATAGCATAAATAATATTTAGAAGTGAAAGTTTGATATGGCTACAGCCTATTCCTTTCTTGCGGGCGAAGATACACGCGTTCAGGAGCGCTAATGATGTGGACCTCCTCGTTGGCTAAGGGAAAAAGAAACCATTGCTCCCAGAACACACTCACCGCCGTCTTGGCCACGTTGCTGTATATAGAGAATCATTTAAAAAATATTTCACTGCAAACAATCATTTGCCAGGTACTGGATTAGAAAACTGTAGAGAAACTCGGCGTCAGTACTTGAACTGGCAAACAAACAACATAAAAAAAACGTATAGTAGGCATCTTGTGTGCTTTTCTTCGCTTTAATTTATATTTACATGTCTACATTTCTTTGCTTGTTCGTTAGTTTTCAAATATTTAAGAGCTGACTTCCTTTTAACAGAGCTTGATTTTCGGCTGCGCGCGCTAATCTAGCCTACGATCGAGCCCTATTATTATCATTATTATTATTATCATTACTATTATTATCTCACTTTAAATCTCTTGACAAAGGAAATGCAAAGTCTTCAAAATAATAATAATAATAATTATAATAATAATAATGTAATACTAATCTTTATCTAGCAAGAATTTCCATAAAATCTTCTACAATACAAAATATTAATAGCATAAAAAACGATCCAAAATAACTCACTTTCGGCTCACATCTACTCCTTTTTTTTATGTCAGTGTCTAGAAAACTATAAATAATGGAGTCAAATCTGAACAGATTCAAAGTCTAATAATCTGATAAGTAAAAGCATGTCAAAAACTAATTACTGTTATTATTATCATTATTATTATTATTGTTTATAACCTCCAAAGATTCTTGTAGAGCGGAGAAGACAATTCGAACGCATAATAGAAATCACGATTTAATTAAATAAGCTACGTGATCAAAATTACAGACGAAAATAAAGAGATCGGTGTGAATCACACATGAAAAGGGCGAAGTATAGATTGAAGATAGCGTAGTTATGATTGATGGTTGTAGCTGAATGTGTTGCTGAATTTATGTGGCTGAATTTGTGTGGTTCGAACTAAAAGAAAATACAGCAGAAACTAAACCAAGAAAATATCCCTAAGAAACGTAACACTAGCCTAATTAACAATTAAGCGACTATAAAGTGAACTGAAAGCGAGAAATAAACCAATGCACGAACCCAAAAAAGGGAAATATCTTAAATGTAAACTAAAGAGACTTACTTTGGTCTAGCTCCTAATGGTTGCAGGCAACTCGCTCATAGCTGATGATTCGTGAATAGCAGACAAAATTTGGCAGTGTCAACAGCAACTTCTAGCGATGAAGTATGAAATACAATATCTAGTACCTGCGCTTAATGAAACTTATTGAAATAAGAAACTTATTAAGTAACAATCATTAAGCAACGAAGAAATAATAGACCGGAACAAACATAATCGAAAACTACACGAGCTACGCGTTTCGAAACTAACATTATTAGGGACTTTAAGCAGTCAGGACAGCAACGCCACGAAAGACGTCGATTAAAAAATGAGTTTCTACTTTTAGTTAGAATTTCGAAAATGGCAGGATGTGTTAACCGTCTCATAGCGCGCCAGACCTCAAACTCAACATAACGCATAAAAGTAGCGTTGAGTTCCAAATGTAAATTAAAATAACTTGCCGCCGCGGTTTAGCTTCACAGACCACGCAAATTTTGGTGATTTCACGTTGTTGTTTTGCAAAGGACTGCTAAGAAATGTACAAAGTTTGAAAACGCACGTGCTGGGCTATTGTTCTGCCAATTAGATCTATTGTTTTTCCACGTTCTCGTTGCCGTAGCCGTCGTGGTTTGCTTACAGTCCCTATTATTGCTCATTATCAATGCCTCATCATCATTATTAGCGCTGCAGAAAGTACGTTTTTGTGTCCGCGGGAAGATTTAAGACGAGTCTGGAGAGGTTTGCCGAGGGTCTGGCACTAATAATAAGTGCTGGATCCCTCCCAGACCTCTCACCGGCTGGCTTTGCTTAAACACGAAGGCGCGCTATAAAAAGAGCCTTGGGTCTCACTGGACCATTTGTCAATCAACCGTCGTATGATGTAGAACTCTTAGAGTCAAGTCAGCTTGAGCTACAGCTACTCCAAAGCAGTGAGCAACGGGCGCATTCCTCAAAATTGTTTTATATCTTCATCACAATACAAGAATTTTTGAGATTTGTGTTTCCTTTCTCCAATGGAAACTGTCTTTATTTGTGGCGGTAAATTTCGGATCGAAGTAGGTGGTTCGCATGTTACCTCATATCACCATGCTGGTGGAAGTAAACAATTGATATCTCATTAGCTCCTTTTGTTCGTCTACCAGCATTTAAATTTGACCCACACACGTCAATGGTGAGTGACAAATGAGCCTAGGTCTTCCCAGGGAAGACTCCCTTATATAGCGCGCCTTCGTGTTTAAGACCACATAATTTTTCCGTGGACGAAGAAACACTCATGCTGAAGCTGGTTGGGCCAAACAGACCAAGAATAAAGCCCTGTCCGCTCGTTTTCTACAGTTGAGTCCGTGTATTGGCTCCTTACATTTCTTACAAGAGAATGTTGACTGAAGAGAATGTGTTAAAAAAACAAAGTGGGTCAAAATACAAGTCTTTAATCTTTTAACTCCCGTAAATGACCAACATGTAGCTTCTCCTTGCAATATCCACACATTATACCACCAAACATGTAATGAGAATACTTAAACTTATCAGGTTGAAGTGGCTGTCTTGATCCAACAAATTCTCGTTACTAATTTACAAGGAAATTTGTAACAGCTAGATCAATCAGATTTTGGGATTTGAGGGTAAACTTGCGGCGGAGTGTATCAACTTTAAGCCGCGGCAACGGAACCAGCATATAAAATGGGTGATTTTGTTCTATTTTGCAATACAGCTGTTTAGCCATGGGGGATAAACCTGTTTCATGGTAGAAGCTAGCACGAGTGTGACTCATTATTTCTGACTGTGTTTGTGGTGCGATTGATTAAATGAGTGATTAAGGAAGAGACAAGAAATGGACAGGTGTAGAATTTTTGGCGGAGAAATAGATGGCACCATGCAAAGAGTTGCAGTTATCAGTTAGGAGTTAGTTCTCAGTTCAGAAATGAAACGATGACTGAATATCTATCTTGACGCCAACATTTTTCATTTCTACTGAGTCATAAATTCAAACCGCATTTGTAAAGAAACGGATATTTTTCCGTTTTTGTTTTCAAATACACGAGCATAGTTTCGCGCAAAATAGAGGTTGTTGAGTTCATTTTCCTTCAAATATTTTGCAACGCGCGGGAAAGAATGTTTCCGAACAGCTTACTGTTTAATGCTTGGGATGTTTTCTTCGGAATGATCTCTGGAACGACTTTATGAACAAACTGATATTTCCCTTCTTCGGTAACAACCACAAAGGCTCTCTCATTTTGAATATAATTGTAAACGAAGATTTATCGTGGTGGAAGTTTGAAAATTGGGAAAGATAACTCGGGTGATATCCTCGGATATCTCCCAGTTTTAACAGGGGAATGTCCGGTCACGTGATGCGTTTACACTAATCGCGCACGAACAAAATATTTGATGGAGCATAACATATCAAGGGTAAAAATTATTGACGAACTTTCCCAAAAACTGTTTTTTTCGAGATTTTCTCAAAGAGGAAAAGAATAAGAGGAGAAATTTACACTACTAACGACATCTGATTGCGAAATACACGAAGCGGACACGTTCTTGATGTTCTTGATAAAATTAATTTAAATATCCTACGAGTGATATAAGGTAGACACCGCTGACCGCTGTCAATCACTATCGCTCCCAGACTCGCTCAGCTGAAGATCCTCGCCTATTAAAAAAGAAAACCAAAAGATCCTTTTAGACAGACTAACCAGTTCTCGCTATCTAAGGAGTTGGAGTCGGAATCGTATTCGTAAGAGCGCGAAAGAATTAACAGCTGCGAGGTCAGCTTGGAAGAAACAACCAATTACAGGACCACGTCTCAAGATCTTCGAGTCCAAGCGACTTCTGGCCAACAATCAAGTTTTCACTGGACCGCAAGAGACGGAAGCCATTCAAACGGAGTCGTTATTTCGTTTCCAATCCCATTGATGTTAATGTCTATTGTTTCGCTCTTGTGATTACGACTCCGAGTCCGACTTTGTTGTTGGTGGATTGTGGGATTTAAAGATCACCTGCGATTAATTTCCTTAATACATCATGTTAAGAGTCAAAGCTGTACAAATTCTTGAGATCGGACCATATCCTCAAAACCCAAGATTGCGGGACATAAAGCTCACCTGCCATTAACTTCCTTTATAATACATCATGCGAAGAGTAAAAGCCCTAAAAAATTTTGGGATCGGCCAACATTCTCAAAACGCAACCCTGAAGAATTTGGAGGAACCATGAACGAAGACTTGACTCTTAGAAACTTTTCATTTCTTTTTCCCTATTTATTCCCTTGATATTACGATTCCAATACAACGCTTTGATCCACTCTCACTCACAACTACAAGAACTTGTTCGAAAAAAAACAAAAAACAAAAAAAAAACAAGTGGTCTCGCAAGTACAAAAAACAATACCACATATAGGCATTAAACTAGTGTTGCATATATGTCAGCCATGGTTACGTAATATAAATAGACGATTGAAATCATTTGTAAATGTCAACCAAGTGTAGACTAATTGACCTAATGCACAGTTTCTAAAAGATCATACAATGAGGGTAATACAAATACAGTTCAACCTGTCTCAAGAAGGAAAGTGACCGCTTCATACAGGTCGAACCACTCAATAGAGGTTCCACAGAGAAGGAATATGGTAAGAATCGATAAAAAAACGCCATGTTTGCCAAAATTTGTATAGGTAATCGCATGGGGCCGAGTAAAATTAAGGATTAATATCACGCGTGTTTTCGGAAGTTGCTTAAATTACCCGAGTCGCGCAGCGACGAGGGCAATTTCTGCAACTTCCGAAAACACAAGTGATATTAATCCTTAA